AGGATGTCTGGGTTCTGCTTGTCGATGGGCACGTTCTGCGGCCCGAGAATGCTCGCCCCGAGCGTCCCCCGCTTGGGCTCGGGGACGATCGGTGTCGTCTCGTTCCACAGCCAGTAGTTCGGGTCGTCGCTCGCAAGCGGGACTGTCGGGCTTGGGCGTGCGGGCTCGTTGCCTGTCGCCGTCGCGGTCTCGGCGGAGGTTCCGGAGACCGATGGGGAGGAGCTAGCGGAGACGTCGCGGACTGGGAAGGAGACGACGAGCGAGCCATATAGGACGGCGCAGAGGACGGAGGCGAGGAACTTCAAGTTGGACATGATGGTCTGGTGAGTGTGTGGCAGGTATACGAGGGCGAGAGTGGGCTGGAGAGCTACTCAAGAGTGCTGCTGCAATTTATGGACAGATGTACACCTCCTTTATACGAGTCTTGAGCCAATGGTGCGCGCTGCGAGCAAGGCACTGCGCTAGCTAGAATTGTTGACGACGGCGGCCACTGAGCTAAACCCGCTCGCGACTGACGAGTGGTCAGTGATCCCGAACGCGAAGGCGAGAGCGACTTCCTCCGGTCGGGACAACGTGCCTCGCGCATTGGTTTGTGCGTAGAATGGAGGAAGACCGCCGCCACTGCCGTGTGGACACGCCGACCTGCCGAAGGAGGTAAAGTGAGAGTGTAAGTTAGTATCATGTGCAGGGAAGTATCGAAGCCTGGTACGGAGCGCTCCGCCTACCTCTCGCGCATTGGTCCAGCGCAGGACTGCGGCATGTGAGGGAATGCGCTCGCAGAAGGAGGTTATCGGAGAGTGTGGGCGATCAGTGGATGAGTTCGGCCTCCCCTAGAGTCGGTGATGTCATCGCCGGGACAGACAATTCGGAATTGTTGACCAACTTGTGCACCTTCCGGCGTTTGCAGGGCGAACCCAGGCGGCCTAGTAGCGCTGAGAGGGGAATCGCTCTGCACGTATGTGGGTCCGCTCCGAGTGGACTTGGGCGTAGGCCTCGGATCGCGGTGGATACCTTGAGTCCCCCGACTCGGATGGCCTCTGGCACCTGTGTATACACCTCGAAGTGGAGACATCAATGGTCTCCGAGCTGAAGAAGGCGGGCGCTGGAATATATCCGGATGATAGTGGATGACGGCGTTTAGTCTCTGTTGCGATGGCATTGGAAGAAGTTGTTCAAGTTCGCGGTGCGCTGACTGTGTGGCACTCGGGTGCGATCAACAGGCGCCGGTCCGGGTCTGCCGGAGCGCTGTTCAACGGAGTCGGGCGCCGTAGAGGCTGTTGGACTCCTTACATTCAGAAGGAGGAGGTGTGGACTGTGGAGGATCTATAGGATCTAATGCGCGCATGCCAAGTTTGCTCTGGTGGCAGACCACACCGGCATATCACGGAACACCCTCAGGCACTCGCTCAAGTTCTATACCCAGAGCGGGTCGCTGCGAGTGGACGGCGGCGAGCGAACGGCGACCACTGGCATTCAAAATTAGCGTAAGCTATTAACAGAAGACGCACAGGGAAGTGGAACTGCGCAGAATTGTGGTTAGCTCGCTTGCGAAGCGCATGCCCAGTGGGGGGTGCGAGACGCACCGTGCCGCCGTGGACCCTGGATCGGAGCATTCTGGGTGTGGGAGGAGCTTATGATCTAAGAGCACTTTGTTTCGGATCTATTTATGCGAGTCACCTGTTGGGGGAAAATGAACTTGGATGATTTTAGGGCTTACACTGGAAGTCACGTCAATGGACTTGGCAGAGCACTGGTAGGGCGTATTGCTGAGGTGGTCCACGTCCGACGTGTTGGTACAATCGTATGAAGCAGAGAGTGGACAGCTCTGACAATACAAGGTATCACTGGCGCTCAGCGTGCTCATTGGATTTTCGCCGTCGTGTGCGAGCGAGCGCTTGATCGCCGGCATATTCCGAGCCTTGTTATATCGCGCCATAGGTATTAGTACGCTTGCGGCTTTCGGACACTACTAGTGAGGTCGTGAGGCTCCGCTCGCTCGCTCACTTTGATCTGAATGAATTTCCTCGCATCGTTCAATACTTTCTTCGTAGGCCCGTACGCAAGAAGTGTCAGTGCCACGGCAGACAAGAGCTGAGACCTCGGACCGGGGGGGAGGAGGAGGAGGAGGAGGAGGGTAGTTTTAGGGAGGCAACCGACTCGGTAGTACTTCATCCTGTCTAGACCGCAACACTGGCCGCACGCTGGAGTTCGACTGGTCCAGCACGGTCCTATGCGGGTACGCTCAATGCGTTGGTCTCAGAGTCTACATGCAAGCCTAAAGAAGTGGAGCAAGCCCGGCGATAGGGAGTAGTGGGCGTACCGTGATGATTCCCCGACAACATGTACTGGGCGTCACTTTCGAGGGCGGCCACGTTCTGGCGGCCGTCGTCGCGGTGCCCCTTCCGAGTTGAGTACCTTGAGTCACGATCGCGGCAGAAGGACGAGGTGAGTCTGACGGTGCAGGACAAGTTCGGACGAACAACATCACGTCCAAATCGGGGGTAGCAGTCAACGATGACTTGGGCGCCCACCACTAGTGCTCGCATCACAAGTACACCAAGCATAGTCATGCTTGCGATCAGTTTGGATGAGTGCCACCATCCAAGGCTCCGGGGAGACCGTCCAGGGCTTCCAATTGCCTCCAATTGCGCCGGCTTTCCCAAGTTTTAGGCGACAGTGTGCAGTGGCTCGGAGCTGCTAGTAGCACAAAAGAAGGTAGTAGGTAAGAGTTTAGCATGCCGTACGGTCTCTTACGGGATGCAATGGGGAGGTGTTCATGTTACGTACCTGCGCAAGCGGGGGTGCGTGTTCGTCCACGTTCCTGGCACCGGCGCAGCGTGAGGCCGCACGCATGCTTATCTGGATGCGGCTGGCTTGTTGGTCGCCCGGTTTGGACATAGGCCATCGCTGGGCGGAGCGGCTTGCTTGATGCTCGACAGTGATACGCCCGAGCCTATATCATTCAAGGCTCATTCTGCGGAGATATCTGGGGTGTAAAAATGTTCATGGTACATAGCTCCGAGTCGAGTCGTAGAACTGATGTCGCTGTTGATGAAGGCTCACGGTGTCCCAATGTGGAAGCGGAGGCATGCACGAAGGTTACACAACGGATGCACAGAGTCAGAATGTGCGATTTGGTCGCCGGTTCGGGTGTTGCACCAAGGCCCTGAAGAGCCTCGAGGACGTCCAGGGTAAGTGCGACCACCGTCGCGGGAGGTCTGATCTGCTTTCCATCGCGTGCCACCAGGGCGAGTACAAGTCTGTACAAGTCAGCACATTCGATCGCGAGTGATCCATACCGATCGCGCGGCCCCCTCAGCACCAATGCGCGCACACAGAGCGTGATGGTCTTACCTGCGCCCAATACAGTCAGTGCCACGTTCCCGTCTACGTCGGGACTTGGATTCGGAAGACGTACCTTGTTCGCGGCAGGGCCGTCCCTGCGTGTATTCGACACAAGGAGCGCTGGAGAACCTAGGCTCGCGGGTAGGTGGTCTACGTACGGAGAACCTCAGAACGTGGGGCGTATGTTGCAGGGCCGGATGGAGAGGAGCAGCGAGTGATTCTCGCGCGGAAGAAGGCCATTGTGGGCGCACGGGTGGGCGCCATCAGCTTGTGTTCGCGGTGTCGAAGAAAGCTAAGATGCGTGCGAGAGCGCGTGGGATGCCCGGAAGTGCTGCAGAGGGATAGATTGCTTACAGCAATTGTTCCGTTCTGGAACTTCGCGCTGAATACTGACATAGCATCCGCACCGGGAACTCGGGAGCGCGAGCATGCACGCGCTGCGACCTGCCTCCCCGCAGAATAATAGGATGAGGGCCCAGACCTCCCTCAGGCCTCTCGGGGTGGAGGCACTTGGACGCGAGGCGGGACGGCGAGGGTGTGCGCGCATGCGTATATAAGGGCCCCCGCCCCCGTCCATCTCGGGATCACTCCCGTCTGTACTTCAAGTACTACCCCCAGGCCGCGCGATACCATACCCCACATCACGCGCTGCCGTTCAGACTATACCCCTTCGCACGTCATACCCTCGCGCTCGCGTATACACCTCCGCGCCACGCGACTGATACCAAAACCCATCGCGACCATCGCGCGCGCTCCTTCACACACTCGCGCGCACCGAGCAGAGTCAGACCCCACCCGCACACCCTCACGATGCACGCCGGAAACACGACCGTGACCGCGAAAGCGCTCCTCCCGCTCGCGCCGCTCACCACCCTCCGCGTCTCGCGGCACCAGATCCCCGCACACGGCCGCATCCCGAACACCTCCATCCAGCACCGCCCGCTCATCATCTACCACGGCGCGTTCCCCGCGCCCACGCCCTCCGCCGCGCAGATCGAGGCGCATATCAACGCCGTCGGCGTCTGCAAGCCCATGTGGCGCTACCCCATGTACCCCGACGACCACTTCCACACCACCGCGCACGAGTTCCTCGTCATCTGGCGGGGCCGCGCGAGGCTCAACTTTGGCGGCGAGGGCTGCCCCGGCGCAGTCGTCGTCGAGCTCGGCAGGGGAGACGCGATACTCATCCCCGCAGGCGTGTCGCACAGGCTCGTGCAGGACCTGGAGGGCGGCTTCGAGATGGTTGGGAGCTACATGGTTGACTCGGAGCACTGGGATTTGTGTTATGGCCGGCCGGGCGAGGAGGAGCATGTCGCGAACATTAAGAACTTGCCGTGGTTCACGCGCGACCCGCTGTATGGTGATGGTGGTCCTGCTGTAAGATCATGAGCAACACATAGATACTGGAAATGACTCTATACGCTCGGTGTCTACTTACCTTAATTTGTAGTGGGCACGAGGGAGTACGCGCTCCCGGTCCCAATCTGTCTCATGTGTGATGGCGAGAGTGAATCGGGGGGTGTGCCGTATGAGGTGGTACGTGAAGTGGGAGTGGGAGCTGCAGGAAACGCGATACATATGGAGTCAACACAAATATAGGCCGAAGCCATGCGCGAAGTCAAAAACAAAAAGAAAACACTCAAACTAGTCTTTACAGGCGCTACCAGGGCTCGAACCTGGGTTTTGGGAACACTACTCAGAATCCCAAGTGATAACCACTACACTATAGCGCCACTACAACATTGGCCGCACACAAGTGCCTTATGAATACGGCAATTATTGATAGGCATAGCAGCGACGTCTTGCATGACTCTATACCTCCCCGTTGATCATCGTGACAGGCGGGTAGTACTGTGTAGCCAAACCACATCCAACCAAGGTGGTCCTGCATTCTGCCAGGGGTGCGGACAGATCATCATGACGACCCGGAAAGCCTGCGCGTGCACACTTCACACTGAATCGCCCGTCGCAAAGCAAATCAACGAAATCACAACGACGCGCCAATTACTGCCTACACAACGACAGTCCCGAGGATCCCATATGGCAGCCACAATCACAACCGTGATGGAGATACACCCCTCAGTCCGGCGTGTACGCAGGTGGGATATCCGCCCGTGCGACCTCACTTGCCGTCGCAGCGCTCCGGATCGGTGCGGCCCCGGCGGGGAGCACGGGCGCGACGTTCGACGGCGTGAGTCCCGGCTGGAAGCGCAGCCCTGAGTCCTGGGGGAGAGGTGCAGATGCAGGAGGCGATGGAGAGGAGGACGAGACATGGGGAGGCGATCGGGCGTTCTTGGGTGGCCTGTGCCTCTTTCCGCCGCGCGAGGGGGACGCGGCGGGGAACGAAGGCAGCGAGGGGAGCGTCGAGTGCGACTGTGGCGGGTGGTTCGTGTATCCGTACGCGTGTGGCTGGGGATCTGGAGTTGTGCGAGAGTGGGCGGAGGCGGAGGATCCACTCGCGCTCATCGTGCCGGCAGTCGAGGCTGCCGTCGGCCCCACGGCTAGATCGTGCGCGCTATCCCCGCTGCCGAGGTCGCCATATGAGGGCCCAGCTGCGCGCGCGAGAGCAGCTTTGCTGGGGCGCGGACTTGCCTCGCCCGGAAGGGAGGTGGGCACGAGGGAGTATGCGCTCCCCGTCCCGATCTGTCTCATGAGTGACGGAGAGGGTGCATCGAAGGGTGCGCCGCCGAAGTGACCCTGGGAGTTGGCGTTGACAGGGAGGACGTATGGGGTGATGCGTGAGGTGGGAGCTGGAGAAAACATGATGTGGAGTCAACACAAATATACACGCAGGAAGCATGCACAACAGAGACAGCATAGAGACGACGTACGGATATTGGGGTCGTCGGAGGGCGAAAGGGCGCGCCGTTTCCGTATTCGATAGCAGAGAAAGGCGAAGACGAGACCGGCTACAAGCGCAATCCCGCCCAGAACCCCGCCGACAATCGCTCCTACAGGGGCCGAGGACGAAGAGGCAGAGGTAGAAGGTGGAGACGAGGGCCCGGAAGCCGAGGGATCGTTGCTCACAGTTGTGGACGGAGGCGGGCCGGAGTTGCCGAGGTCGGGGTTGGAGATGTTGTAGCGTATGTAGTCAAGCATGTAGGGTGTCCCAGAGTCGACGCGAGAAACGTTGATAAGAAGAGTGTATTGACCATAAGGCAATATAGTCGAGTTGAAGAACGCGACATTGTCGATCGGTGAGGTGACATCGTCGGGGATGTAGGCTTGGAGCTTCTGCGAGCCGACGCTATAGAGCGAGAGAGGCTGTTGTCCGCCGTTTGCTGCTGGCTCAACGCGGCCGTACACAGACACTTGGGAACCTGCGCGTGGCGACCACAAGTGGACGTTGGGGTAGAGGTTCGACACTGAATTCGGATGGCAAGATTTAAGAGAGAATGACGAAGAACCATACCTGTGAAGGAGAAGACGGCTGACAAACCCGCATCCGTGGCTACCTGCACACTTCCGTCCCAGACATCTGCAGCATTGACCGGCGTGGACGGCAACCAGAAGAACGTGGAGTCGGATTCGGGGGACAAATAGCGAATTCTGTCGTACTCCTCGTTGTCGACAGTGACGATGTTCGACTCGGACATGGCCTCATCGACGGTTGCACTGAGAGAGCGAGGATGAGTGTACGAAGAACGAGTGGACGATGAAGAGACAGACCGGAGAGGGATGCGCAGACGCAGTGCTGTTGTTTACGAGCCTCTGGAGCTGTCAGACTGGGAGCTGAGCGCATTTGAAATCGGCCAGCGGGTCGACATAATCGGTTATAAGCCGGCCGAGTCCGGGAGTAAACCTTGCTCAACTCTGTAGCCAGTGTTACAGCTGGATGCTGGGAGACTCCACGCATGGCAGAGGCATCGAGCATTACGCTCAAACGAATGGGACTTCAAGTTGTCGACGCGATCGCTTCAAGCTTGTAAGTACTCACTAGCAGTGCCCCCGATCGAGATCCGGGCGGCCCGATGTGCCGGAAGACCCCTCAAGCGCATAGACACAGTCAAGCATGCCTATGTCAACATTTATGTTGAGATCAGGGCAACGCTGACACACACTGAGTATGTATACATCAGACTAGGAAGCCAACCTTTCTACATATATACAAATACAACCATGATGGACTCAGGAGTCACCATGCCATGGCAACAAGTTGGCGCGAGTTAGTTCAACTTGAAGGAAGTTGAAGAGACCGTCAGTCAAGGGTTACATAGTACTACGTTGGTGTCTCGTAACGCTCCCAGACATTGTTGCCGTCGCAGGCCCTCAGGATGAGTTTCTCGCAGTGGCAGGGCTAGGCCGCAGCATCGCGAGCAAACCCTCCATCATCCGCTCAACGCGTGCAACCCCGTCCTCGACCGCCTCGAACCGCCCTTCGAGTGTGCTTAGCCGGTTTTCGACGGCACTCAGCCGCGCAGTGTTGTCGTATTCGTGAGTACCATATGCATCGTACTCGTCGTCGTCGTCTTGAATGCGGCTGTGATAGGACAAGATCGGTGCGGGCTGTGGGGCCGGGGGAGAAACCAAGTCGTTGAACGCCCCGTCGCCGTCATGATTACCGTCATTGGCGCTGTCAATCCCGTCCGCCACGGAGAGGAGGACGGGTCGAGGTCTTGAGCTGCGCCGTGACACGGATGCCGATGTGGAGAGACGGCGCGGGTTGAAAAGGACATTGGGTGCGCTCCCGCTCGGGTCGAAGGAAGACCGGGGAGAACGGGGAGGACTGTCGACGTTGCGCATGCTACTAGCTCGGAATAAATGATCGTGCCAAGGCGGGCTCCTGTCCGCACCTGCGCGCGGACTACGCGGACCCGGAATCGGAGGCAATTCAGGAATCATAACCGGTGGTAGGGCGGGACTGAGTGCGGGGACGTAGAGGAGCGTGTGCGTGGCTTCATGATGTATATTGATATGAGAGGCAGACACCACAGCACCAGAACGAGCAGACCCATCACATGAGGTGCAAATCGAGAGAAGATCTGCAATGAGAGTCGTGTGATGAACCAGACGCGCACTGGCCAGTGATGCAAGTGAAAGTAGGTGTGGGCGTATGCTTACCTGTACATTCTGCACACGTCCAGCAAGGCAGCGTTATAGCTTCCTCACACACCACGCAGAAGCGTGGACTGCCCTTCACGAATACGGACCGTGGAGAGTCGGAGGCTTGAGGAGCGTCACATTGTCGAGGGATGAGAGAGCGTGTACCTCCGCCCCTCTCAAGATTTACCACTCTCAGCTCTCCAGCCGACCCATCGGAGCCTGTAGAACCGTCTCCTCCACGTTCCTCTGTCACGGGGGTGCCCTCGAATGTCTCAGGTTCCGACACAAACTCCCCTTGCAGGCCGAATCCGAGGCTCGCCTGCGAGTCCGCGCCGACGAACGTTCGGTCTCCGTCGTCGTCGTCGCCCGTATCACCGTTGTCCAAGTCGTCGCCCAGCTCCGATCCTTCTGGGATGGTCGATAGCCCCGACGGCCACCTATTTCTGCCACGATCCAGAACACGCTCGTCCCGGTCCTCAGAGAGAAGATTCGTGAGGTACGCGGCGCGCTCGAGCAATTCGGGTACCGTTCGGCCCGACGTTGCCAGAAAGTTAGACAGTGTCCAGCCGATGACTCGCGTCTTGACGACGCAGTGGCCCTCAGGCTCTCCGAATCTTTCACGGGCGCTGCTGTGATGGACAAGCAGACAATCGGGGTCGTCACAGATGACAAAGCCGTGGGAGGCGTACGCTGGTGGCGCGTCGTCGTTGTAGGCGGCGCATGCGGGCGCGATACATCGCAGGCAGGGAACGAGCGTCGAGAGGAGGCGCATGCATTCGCCCGGGCGTGCGCTGCACGGGGGAAGGAGCCAAGCGAACCGTTCGGGCTCGAGCGCGGCGAACGCGATGAAGTGCAGATCAGCAGGGGATATGCGGTCCATGAGGCGGTTTTGCTCGGAGAGGTTAGTGTTCCAAGGCGCAGACGTAGAGTCATAGTAGATGAGCGAGGCCAGGCGGTGCCGCCGGTCCCGGCGGCCCTTGAGGACAGACCAAGTGAGGGTGCGTTGCCGGATCGTAGCAATGGTGGCGGAAATAGCGAACTTCCACAGCGCGGCTGATTTATTAGAGACGATTGAGGATGGGGAGGGGTAGCAGGCCATGATCACGGGAGACGAGTTCCTCTTGAGGGTGACTTGATTTCGGCGAGAACCTTTGTCATCCGTAGGGGCTTCGACTAGGTCGGGCTGTGGGTAGTCCATATCACCTGTGAGCGTCATGCCGTCATCGCGCAGACGCAGTCGCACATGAGTTGGTCCCAAGAGAGATGAGTTTGGGGTAACGGTGACGGTGTAGGAGTATTGACCATCTGGTCCCACACCAGCTTCTCCTACGCAGTCTGTGCGTGTGCACATCCAAGGCCAGTACAGCGTCGGTCTTGCGAGGAACCCCTTCGGATTTTGCGGTGACGCATGGAAGGAGAAATTGAGAATGTATCCCGTTTCCATGTCGTCGGACCCCTCTGAAGTCGTGGTGTGGATGATCCCTGTCCACGGCCCCAATCTGCGTGATTGTAGTCAATCTCCAAACAATCCGACGTAAAATAGTCAACCGTCTTACATTGCTCGCACGGCCTCGTCCACATCGTCCGGTTCCACCCAGTCTTGCAGCCCATCTTCCGAAGCGGGATAGAAGTCCTCAGAGTGTGGAGGATACTTGAGTAGGTCCACTGAGACGCTGTTGCGGGCGGTCGC